GCCATGGAACAATCAGCAATGACACAGTTTCATCTATTTTCAAAAGAGAAACCTATTTGATGCATCGGTGAAAACCGTTTGCTTCGATAGAGAAGATTCAATGCGTTGCGGAAACTGAACATGGGAAGACGGTGTTGTAGGTTTAGTCTACTTGTAACAAACAAATCCTTCATGTCAGCTGCTTAATCCGAAGAGAAGGAGAATGAGGATTGCTTACTTGGAGTGATGTTAAAATATTAGAAAGAGCTTGCCCATAGGTGTCATGAAAGTGGACAGCAAGCTTATCGATCGGGACGACATTCATAACATTCTCGAGCATTGGAATGACGGTACCTGCACCGAGATGAAACAGAGAAGAAAAGTCAAAATTGAACTACCATGAAATAATCGCACATAGACCAAAACGAATACCATAGGCATATAAAAAAGGGTTTCCATAGTTTGATCAAAGCAGAATAGGAACCCTCCATATTAGATCAAAGGAGTTTAGGAAGAATAAGATAAGATAGAATTAAAGAGCCATTTGACACAGAAGAATTCCAAAATGTTTTTCCAAACGAGAACAGCAATCTTACGTGTCACATCCGATAAAAGAGAAACCAAAATATCTCTACATTACTATCCACATTTGTATCACGAATGGAACGGATATATCTATATATTCGTGTCTCCTTCAACTAATCTCCATCAATGTATGGTGCTGTAAAAGCAGTAAAGACTAACAGAAGGTAACATTAAAACTTACCGGGTGTACCAACACCGATTGTATCACCAAGGGGAATTTCTGAGCAACCCATGTGAAAGAGCTGTTTAGCTACGTAAGCAACTTTCGATGGAGGCACCATTCCATCCACTGGACAACCAACTACGCATGATATATATCTGAGAAGATCAGATAGTGCTAAGACGGTCATATTACTAAAAATATAAAATAAGTAAAACGAATCTTATTTAGGATTGCCTTTTTCATTCTAAGGATTCACTAAATTGCAAAGTTATCACTAGGAATTAATCCAACCCGACAATATACATACCCGTGAAATAATTCTTGTCAAAAATTACTCTTCCAGTATAATACCATATTTACTGGACAAATTCTAACATTTTCTTCTTTTCGGGTAATAAAGTTTTCATTCAGATTGCTGCAAGTTCAGAAATGGTTCTCAATTCAATGAAAAGTCCAGAAAAATACCTTTCTAAAAAATATTCAATTTTCGACAAAAGTCAATGCTACATGGAAAGAACCTAATCCTATAGCCAATACCAAAGGGAGGATAAAGGAAAAAAGAACAGCCTTTCCTCCTATAAAAGAAAAACTTGAAGAAAATAGTTCAGATTCTGACGCAATACTCGTTTAAATACCAATGCTACCGCACGTGAGAGGAGAATTAGAGTGGAGATCAAAGAAATCTCACGCCCGTTACCTAGGGGTAACCCGTAACCCCACACACAAACATAGCAAGGACCTTTTCAACTATTGCTTATGCTTTTAGGAATCTCATTACTTTTCTTTAGGTAATAAGAAAGATCTTTGACATAATCTTTTAGCTTTTAGTTGAATATCTAAAAAAATTCTTTATCCATGAAGTGAAGATAAGTATAGTGCTTGGAAAAACCAGGGGATGGTTAGTGCATTTCAAGCATGAAAACCAAATATATTATAGTTTTTTTTTTATAAAAAATATATATATTATAGTTCAACATACCCTCGAACTGGAAGTGAGAGCTCTCTGGCAGCAGAAGCAACATCTCTATAACGAGCAAGACTATCTTCAATGCTGAAATTTATGTTTGACTTGGAAAACGACTCGGAAGCTGAGGCAAATTTGCACAGTTTCTGAACAGAAAAGTTTTTCTCTGTTAGACATGGCTTACTTTAAGGTTGGGAGTTAACACTGGAGATCGGGCACCTTGAATATTCCGGATTGCATCCATTACATCCTTTGCATCTGCCAGCTGTAATTCAATTATGAATTAGCTCAAGATAGCTGTTTCTTATTTTTCCTTTCTGCAGCACACAAACCCTTTGAAAGATGAGCATAACAATAATCGATCCAGTCCATTGAATAAACATCACTTTAAAAATGATTAACGAAGCACGAACTACAGGTGACTACGAACATTAGATATTGAAGGGGAAAAAAAGAGCAAATTGTAGAATCAAGAATTAAGAGGATACAAGCAACTCAACATTTACAGTGGTCTCGACAAAACTCAGATTGACTAGCATGAATCACGCAAAGGCACACTGACCTGTGGAACCTATTTTGGCGAGACAAAACTCGTGGCCTCGACAGCATTCAACCTTTACAGTGGTCGGTACGATTTCCTTTTCGTTTTGCAACCCATCCCAACCTCCACTTTCTTCACATATGCCGGAAGATTTCTTAAGACCTGGAGTGTAGTATATAGTGCAGACTATGAAGAATAAGTAGCTACAATAGACAAAATCACAAAAGAAACAACAAACAAACAAACAAATCAAATCAAATAAAAGAATCAAGATTCTGTTTACGCACAAATTAAAAGTTTCAATTGACCTTAGTTGTGGGACTACGATTGCTATTAGAGCTGTAACGATAATTCGAAGACATGCTCTGCTTATTTTTGGGACTATAATTTCCTATACTCTTAAGTAGCATTGGTGCTCTGCTTTCCATCAGCCTCGATATCTTCTCAACTCGCCTCGTCGCTATCATTTCAATATGATTTTCTATAACATCCCAAACAAAAGGTTAGTGACCAAACTGTAAGAGGTTAAAATTTAGTAATTTATATAGGATAAGTTAAAAAGTTTAAGGATTAATTTTGAAAATTTGTGTTTAGGACTTGTTAACAAAGATGGAAGAATGGAAGGACAACGAGGTCTTTTAGCAGGAAATGAATTTAATATTCATTTTTAAAGATATTTTGAGCATGTGAGGAGAAAGAGAAGGAAAAGAAAAGTCTGGAAACTCGGTTATTTCTATTTTCTTCCTCTTGCCCGTAAACCTTCATTTTCCAAGGTGAGTTTATTTAAGTTTGTTGTTCCTTTCATTTTTAGGTTGGTTTTGAAGCTTTGAATGATACAAAAATTTAAGGAAAACTTAAAGATGATTAAAAGCAAAGAGATTAAGAAATTATGGTGAATTAGAAAAAGGGGTTTTTAAGGGAATTCTTAATATCTGGTGAGGAATTTGATTCTAAATGTATATTTGACTTGTCAATGGTCTAATTAAGGGATTTGAAATATTAGAAAGGCTTGAGATCTGATTTGACAAATTGGTATGAATTTTAGTTTCAAAAATTATATGGACAAATTAAGGTGTTAAAGAGGTTTTAATAGATATACGTTCAGGGTAATAAGTATAAATAAGTTTAAAGGCATGAATGGAGTTTAAATAAGAGATTTAAGTGAAGTTGGATAAATTTTCGAAGGGAAATAGATGAATTATGGGTAAGGGTATTTTCGAAGGGAAATAGATGAATTATGGGTAAGGGTATCGGTACTGGAAGAACAATACTGATACTATAAGGTTAAATTGTAAGAAATGGTTTGAACCAGATGAACAGTGTCGATACTGATTGATTCAATATCGATACTGAGGTGGAGGTATCGATACCAAGAGGAAGGTATCGATACTATAATTGAAATTTGAATTCCAAAATGTCAAAATGGTATCAGTACTAAAGGAGGTATCGATACCATAAGAGAAAAATATCGGTACTATAGATGGGGTACCGATACTATTAAGTCTGAAACTTTGAATTTTAAAGTTTTTCGTTCCATTTATGTAGTGTTAATAAGTTAAATGTTAACGGAGATTCGATATTGATATGGAACATGTCTATGTGTAGATTTGGATCGAAATGGTACTGAAGGAATCAACATATTACGAGACTGACAGAAAAGAAAATGATTTTGTTTAGGATTTATGTGAGACAAAGGTGAGTGCATTCTTACTTTGCATAAATTTTGAGGATGGCTTGCGACGAGCCAACCATAAATATTTTTGAACCAAATGGTTTGTATAATATTATGAAAATATATATATTTTTACGTGAAAGACTATAAGTATATGAATCATGTGACCATGTCCTATGAAAATAAATGATAAATTGAGTAAATCAATAACATAATAGAATAACATAAGAATAGATAATGCAAATCGAACACAAGTGTGAGCGACTATATTGGCCGAGCACATGATAGAATGAACAAATGATATGCCGGTGCTCTTAAAATCTTGAATCTTTAAACCCTAAATAAAATTCTTAAACTCTAAAATTAACATAACTTATTAAATTACATTAAATTTTATATAGGGATAACCACGGGTCGGGTTAGGGTTCGATTTTTGGCTCACCCGACCCGACCCGACCCGAAAATGTATATCTTCCACCCAAATCTGATCGACTCAAAGATTTTATTATATCCTCCTCCTGATCCAACCCGATATAAAATAAGGATTTAATTAAAAATAATAATAATTTTTAAAAGAAAGTTACACTATTATCCTCGGGTGGGGTTGGAGGGTTTTTACCCTCCACCCGAACATGACCCGACATTACCCTTTAAAAAATCTAACCCGACCCAACTCGAACACGACATTTAAAAAATTCATCCCTATCGAATCTGGTCGGGTTGGAACCCATAATATCCAGATTAAATTACCCTCCCTAACTCTATACATGTGAGTTGCCTTGTGAGTAGTAATTCAAAGTAATTTTTAATTATTAGTTTTATAAACAAAATATTACAAAGGCAAACCCTAAAATGCAAAGGGGTAACTTTCTTTTTTAGCCCATAGAGATATACACATGGAGCCTTTAAACGGACAGGTAGGTTAACGGCTATAATTTGGAGCGGGGCATTTCTCACCGTTAGATTAGACAATCCAACGGTGAAAAATTGAAAAATCAAATATGACCGTTGGGCCTCTTTAGCTTCAAAAGCAAATCAAATCTCGCCGCTTTTCTCATATTCTCTAAAATCCGTAAGAGAAAGGCGAAAGAGAAAATCAAGAGTGAAGAGATTAACGAAGATGGCTTCAAGACCCATTGTTCCTCAACAAGCCAGAGGTAATTTTCTGGGTTTTTTCATTTTCGTTTGAAATGATTTTTGTGATTTTTTTTTGGAAGTTTTGGGTGAAAAAAGAAATTGATTCTTTGCGTTTTTCTTCTGTTTTGGTGGGGTTTTGTTTAAACCATACGAATCATTTAAGGATGATTTTCTTTTACAGGAGATGCCGGAGTTGGAGGCGCCGGAGCAGCAGTTCACAAGCAGACGAAGAAGAACGCGGCGCCCGGAGATGGGAGGAGCCGCCGTGCGTTGGGGGATATCGGGAATGTGGCGAACTTTCGAGGAGTGGTTGTTGAGGGCAAACCCCAGCAGCAGATTCAACGTCCACTCACCAGATCTTTTTGCGCTCAATTACTCGCCAATGCCCAAGCTGTCGCAGCCGCCGAGAAGAACAAGGTTTGTTGTTACACATAATTTATGTGATTGATTGGTTTCGATTACATTTCTTTATTGGTTTGAATTTGACTAATTCAATTCAAATTCTGCGTTTGTTTCGGATTCCAGAAAAATGTATGTGTTAATGTGGAAAAAGCTCCTGTTCTTGATGGAGTGCCTAAAAGAGGTGTCGCCGCTGCACCGAAGGCTGTTCAAAGGAAACCGGCTGCTAAGCCCTTTCCCGCGACGGCAGAAGTGATCGAAATCAGTCCAGATGTCGAAGAAGAGGTGGAAGTGAAGGAGGAGAAGAAGAAAGACAAGGTTGAAGTGAAGAACAATAAAAAAGTAACTGAAGGGGAGAAATCATCCAAGAAAAAGCAACATACTTTTTCTTCAGCCCTTACTGCAAGAAGCAAGGTAATCAATCATTCTTTTGAATCTTTTTTTTTTCGAGTACTTGTTGTCGAAAACTTGAGGCAATGAAGGTTAATTTGTTTGTTGTTCTGGAATTCAGGCTGCTCATGGAATTGCAAACAAGCCAAAAGAGCAGATTGTTCTTGACATTGATGAAGCAGATGCTAATAACCACTTGGCTGGTGTGGAATACGTTGAGGATATCTACAAGTTCTATAAATCTGTTGAGGTTAGCAAATAGATAACAACAAATTTCAATCAATTTATACATTTTTTCCTGATGATTTCGAGTTTCGACAAGCTGAAATTTATGAAAAATGTTGTGGAAATGCAGAATGAGAGCAGGCCAAATTACTATATGCACTTGCAGACTGATATCAATGAGAAGATGAGGGCGATTCTCATAGATTGGCTGATTGATGTTCACCAAAAGTTTGAGCTTTCACCCGAAGCTCTCTATCTTACCGTCAATTTGATTGATCGGTTCCTATCAGTGAAAGTCGTACCGAGGAAGGAATTACAACTGCTTGGCATGAGTGCCATGCTCATTGCCACCAAATATGAAGAAATCTGGCCCCCTGAGGTCAATGATCTAGTATGCATTGCAGACAGAACTTTCACTCATGAACAAATACTTTTGATGGAGAAAACTATACTGAGAAGGTTGGAATGGACTTTGACAGTGCCTACACACTACGTATTCCTTGCTCGGTTCATCAAGGCTTCGATCCCGGATCTGAAAGTGAGTTTCTATTTCATTCTTAAGGGACATTTACACTTTCATTTTACTTGTTTTGTGTTTAGAAGAAAATTTACATGTTTTGCTGTGTTTTGTGCTGTTCAGATGGAAAACATGGTATACTTCCTAGCTGAATTGGGGATAATGCACTATGAGACAATTCGGTTCTGCCCGTCAATGGTGGCTGCCTCGGCTGTGTATGCCGCTCGATGCACTCTAAACAAGACACCGGCTTGGACCGACACGCTCGAGTTCCACACCGGTTACTCGGAGCAGCAGCTCGTGGATTATGCTAAGCTGCTGGCTTATTTCCAGTCCAAGGCTGCAGAGAGTAGGCTTCAGGTTGTGTATAAGAAGTACTCGAGCCCTCTACGAGGCGCCGTTGCGTTGTTTCCGCCATCCAAGTATCTATTATCAGCTGAAAGCAGGGTTCAGGTTGCATAGATTTAGATTAGGATTTCTGGAAACTAATTCTTGTGTGAATGAAAAACAATGCATTGATATTCTTACTAATTCGAGATTGCAGCAAAAATATCACAAGATGTATGCCGTCAAAGCTATTGTTTTGTTCATACTTATTTATTTAATTTAATAAACAATTAATATACGAATGATTGACAAGTAATTCATCAAATGACCAAACTGGGAACGGTTTAATATTATTAACCATTATTTGTTAATGTGTGTCATATATATATAAGAGGAATGGCTATTTTATGATATATATATCATCCCTATGTTTAGAGTCTGATCGCCTTTAGTCACCAATTTAAAATTTAAGGCGAAATGGTCCTTAATGTTATCGATCTATTTGATTTTAGTCCCTCGGCTATTAATTTTTGTTAACCCCTTTTTGTTTTCCTAACATGGTTGAGAGGGGACTAAAATTGAACGGATCGATAATGTTAGAGACTAAAATCGAACTGATCGATAACGTTAGGACCATTCCCCCTTAATTTTTAAATTAGTGACCAAAGTCATTCAGACCAAAAACATAAGGGACTATCTGTATAGTTTACCCCTGATTTAAATACACAATGCATTTTGTGCATTTCCAAAAACATGGTAAACAGGAATGAATAATAAAATGGTAAAATACGTAAATAGTACTTATAAGTTATGGAATCACGTCTTGATAAATTGAAGTTTTTAGAAGATGATATTAAGGAGGAAATATAAGAATTTCTCAACGAGATGGATAGTGACGAATAGAGAAAAGTTTTATTGGATGGATCAATATAAATATAAGAAACAATTGGTATAATTTTAAAATTGGCCCCCAAAATTTTGGCTTTGAGACAAATTCATCTATAGATGAAAATCATTAGTTAACAAACGATTAACGTTATAAAATAAGAGACTTTTTTACCCTAAAATGAAACATTAGAAGCCTAAACACTTTAGAAAAAAAGGGGTCAAAGTGACTATTCAGTCAAATATTATAGGCGTTTTTGTTCTAAAATGAAATGTTGGGAGCTAAAATACTCAAAAATAGAATAGAGACCAAAATGATCATTTTAATAAACATTAGAGACTAATTTTGACATTATATCTAAAAATTTGTCTAACGTAATTTAATTTAAAAATATAATAACTATATATTTAAGTGAATCTAGAATAATAATTTTGAAGGGATGGAAATAAGTTTGTCTTCGGTTTTATTTTGGACATTCTACTATTTTTTTAAATATATTTAATATTATATTTTTATTTCGTTTTAGTCACTCGTCATTAAAAATAAATAAAATTATTAATTTGATAATTTTTTTATTTTTTCAATGCTGACATGATATTAATGGTCATTGTTAACATTTTAACAACATGTTATCAAAATAGAACCACAACGTAACGTTAGGAGTGATTTTGAAAAAATAGTTAAATGATCAAAATAGAACTGTTAAAATAAATGGATGACTAAACAATTAGTTTACCCTAGTTTTAATGGTAAAATAGAAATTTATTGAAACATTTAGTGACCATGGTGTAGTTTACCCTAAATAGTAACCCTTTCGTGTCCCATTGGTCGTCAATTTTGGCGTTTGTTTAATTGGGGGGAAATTTAAGGATTAGGGTATAAAAGTTCTTTAGATTTTACCGCTGCCTCCTTCCTTTCTTCTCTCGCGAGAGAAGTCGTTTCGTACGACCAAAAACCTTCCAGATTCTCTTCTCTATCTCTCTCTCTCTCTTCCCTTTCTCTCTCCCTTCGTTTCCATATGCTCAGAAGAAAAGGGATTATGTCTTCTTCTTGATTGATTGATTGATTGATCCATTCTTTGATCATCAAGAAGAAGGAGAAAACAACTGAGGAGAGGCTGAAGCAGAGGGTTTTTTGTGCCCCCATCGTAAGCAAATCGGAAATTAATATCGCCATGGACATGACTTCGACGCCGCCGCCGACGACAACAGCCTCCGCCGGAGCTGTTAACGAAAGAGAGTTACCCGTTGATCCTTTCCTCGTTGAGGCTCTTCAGAATCCTCGTCATCGTCTCACCAGTATTTTTTTCCGTTTTATTCTCAATTTCGTATCGTTAATATTGGGGTTTTTTTTTTTAGATTTTAGGGTTATTATTATTCTTGTTTTTGCCTCTTTAATAGATCTCAATATACGTTGGCTATTGAATTTTTATTGGGAATTTAGGGTCTGGCATATGGGTTTTGGATTGGGGTCAATTAGGGTTGGGTTTTGTTTAGCTGTGGAGATTATTTTTCAGATCTGGTGTTTTCTTTTCGTTGACTTTTATTGGGGAGAAATACTTTTTTAGATTTGTTGGTAATTTTGCTTAATTATGATAGCTAATATGTGGGGCAATGCATTACTCGCCAAATCTAAATTGAAGTGGGTGTTTTTTTTTTTCTGGTTAATTGGTTTCTGAAATGATTTAACTTTTTTGTGCAATCTTATATAATTTGAGAGCTGTAGTGTTCGATTACTCTTTTATTATCCTATGAATGGCGTCTTCGTTTTAGATTTAACGTTGTTTTTGCTCCGTTTTTGTTATTTTCCCGGGAGCTAGTATTGCGGATGGAACTTGATATCCAGAAGTTTTTGCAAAATTCCGAGCAGCAGCAGCAATTTGAGTTCCAACATTTTCCCACCTCATATCTCCGGCTTGCAGCACATCGTGTTGCTCAGCACTATGGGCTGGTAACTATGGTTCTTGATAATGGCTTAGAAGGAAGCAAAATCGTGGCGAAGATAGCAGGTGAAATCAGATGGCCTGCAGTTCGTTTGTCTGAAATTCCTGCTAAAAGCACAGAAAATGATAAGCCCGGTCAGGTTAAAATTGCTATTAGGCCCAGGCCAAATAATGGATCTGTCAATGAAGCTAATCAAAGCGGTATCAAGAGAAGTTCCGTGAGAAGTGTGGAAGAGAGGAAGGAAGAGTATGATCGGGCACGAGCTCGTATTTTTAGTAGAGCTAGCACTCCTGGTTCTGTCGATTCTTCTCCTCAGGTTTCAAATGATGGGAAAAATGAATCTCTTATCAGAGATGAGTTGGAAAATTACCAGAGCTCTATGGTTGATCAGGAGAACAATACTACCGTCTGGGATGGTACATCTCGAGTAGCCATTTTCAGAGACAGAGAGAAGGATCGTACTGATCCGGATTATGACCGTAGTTATCAAAGGTGGGATTTATTCTTAGTATTTCGGAAATTTGGAAATATTCAGGTGGTTGATCGCTTTGTACCATGTAATGTTTTTTGCACAAACTCTTTAATTATATCAAATGTTTATAGTGGCTCCTTTTCCCGTTTTCTTCTGAAAACATAATGTAGGTAAGATGCAAAAGTTAAATTACCGATGATGATTAGGGATGAAATAAGAACGATAATTGCTTGAAATAGGGAGTGTTTTTGGTCTTCAAGGAGGAGTTCTTATCTTAATTCTATACTAACTTTTTCTGAACTGATATAGGTATGTTAGAAGCATTCCATGTAACCAGAGTGTTGGTGTGGCTCCTTACAATATGCAGAAGGTTCAGCTTCCATTTATGCAGTATGATTCTGCTATTCCACAGTTGGGGCAGATTTCAAGCACACAAGCTCCCCTCGGTTATGGTGTTCCTGCAAGGCCGGCTGTGAGCCCTTTTTGTTACATGGGATTGAATCAAACTTCTAGAGATGGTCCTTATTTGCACTGGCCAAGTGCTAACATGATGTATTCACATTCATATGATCAGTTTGTGCATGCTGTATTTCAGGTAGGCTCCAATATCTTATCTTATATAAAAGTCCTACTTCCATGTACATGCTTTCATCTGGTTATTGCTGTTATTAGACATTCGCTGTATGTTAGGTACATCAAGTCCACACTTAAAAGTGACTCATTCAAATTGTATATGTGCATTTTATCTTTTGGTTGCAGGCTCCATTTGTTCACCAACCACCTTTGAGCTATGATTACTCGATGAACGGTTAAAATGTAACAGAGTTTGTATCATGCAAAATTCTCAATCTTTTAGGGCATTGTGTGGGTGAACTGCTAGAGTCATTGTTTAAAGACGTGGTTAGACAATTCATTCCTTCGTGTTGAATTTTTGGTGGATTATATTGGTAGATAAGGATTATAACAATCATGCCTTTTCATTTTCGTTTAAATGGTGTTTGAAAACTTCTTTATTTTCTTTCTTTAATAATAAACTTGATGAATATTGAGCCAGGAACCAAACTTCCCCTTATTTTTTATATCTTCTTCTTGATGGTTGAATTGATCGTTCAACTTTTGAACCGAGAAATTAAGGTTTAATTTGTTCGACTTCTGGTACGATCTTTTATGCGTGTCTACTCCTTTAGGCTTGAATAGGGGTGTGTATTTTTGTATGCTTGGTACCGAGTACCATATTACTCGACATATCGGCTTTTTGTTATTTTTACGTATAGGTTTTGTTGATGTCTTGGTTTATTTCATACATGAATTTGATCTGTGCAACATTTGATGTTGATTAAAGAAAAATCCTTACCTAAAAACTATAGGAAAGTGATAAAGATTTTGTATGGTTGTAAACGTATTTAATTTAAACGAATGTTTATTTTTGAGCGTGTTGGAGCTCAAAAGGTTTTAGTTCTCAAAATTCTCATTATCTTGGCCTTGCCATTGAACAGAGACATCATTGGCACATGTTTTAAATATACTCTTATCATCTTTCGGTTGACATTTAATATCCAAATTGATCATAGGTCGATAGAAGATTTTGATTAATAGTAGTAGGGTGCTTAATGAGTTGAGTAATTAACGAGCTGAGTCGGGTGAATTCTAACTTGACTCAATAAATTCACGAAATGTTTTAGTAGTTATCTTAAAATATTATTTTATTAAAAAAATTACTAATTTATTGATAGATAATAAAAAGATAAGTAGTGACTAATCTATTATTTTTTTAATAAAGAATAAAAATATTAAATTAATTATTATTTTACAACACTAAAAAATCTAATCTTATTCATTATTTTAATATATTTGTAGATTGTTATTTTAGAGTTTACACTTTCAATTTGTTGCTTATATTTTTTTGGTTAAATTTATTAATTTATATTTATATTAAACCCTATATAATATTAATAGATTTTACTTATAGTTAAAAAAAATAAGATGAAAATTCCCTTAAGTTTAACGAGCTTAAAGAGCAATAAGCGAGCACGAGTAAAATACTACCCAACTCGTGAGAGATCTACTCGCTTAATAAACACCCTTAAATAATACCATACTAATACATTGATAATATTTTAATATAAATCGAACCAATTTAAAATTTGAGGTGTAGTTTGAAGAGTTATGGTGGACTTTATTCACTTCCTCTTTAAAATGGCAGTGGCAATGTGCATGGGACATACATTCTAAAATATTAAAAGAAGAAAACAAGATCCTCCTCAAATCCAAGCTCCAATCTTTCTTCTTGGGTCCGTAATTAGAGCTAATATGTAACTTTGGAATTCAATCACCTTTTTTGCATTTTGCAGTGCAGCAGATTCATCCTCAATTTAGCTAATTTGGATTTGTTCCCTCTAATTGTAATTATTAAGTTAAATAACGATAGAAGAAGAGCTTATGCCTCTTTCACAATCTCTAATAACCCCTCACCTTGCTCTCGCTTTCGACATCCCAAATCCAAACCACAATCCACGCTTTGCTCAGCCCATTCCAGCCGAATCCACCGCTAATTCAGGTGGAGACGAGCTGGTGCGGACTCTCGAGCAGCCCCTACTCATGTGGAACCCACAGCCACACAAGCGGTCCGTCGATGTCGCATCTCATTTAGGGATCAAGATCATAATGCCCTTGATGAGCGTCGCTGAGTTGACCGGAGAGAACATTGCTAGTCATTTGCAGAAACATCACCTCTATTTAAACAGAATCCGAGGGTTATCCGGTGGTGCAAAAATAGCAAACTTTTGAGCTTTCGGGTAGATATCGATTCGGAAAAGCAATCCGTCACATGGATAATCAAATCATGTCAAACTAAAATAAAAGATTAAATCCAAATATCAACATGGTAGAGACTAAAACGATTATTATCATAATTAGACCAGAAATGTTCTGTACACCCCTCTTCTCCTGAATCTGTGGATGTACAACCCTAATCACCATACAAAACAAGTGGACGTACATTCATCGATTTTAGAAGCTGAATAAATCATCCGATTATCTTTGATGCTCTGCACCACGGAAAATAGCCGAATGCATATGCCGGACTGCTAAAGAATGTTGCATGATTTGCATAGTCATGTTGTATACACAGGCGAGAGTACATCGCAATTCATTTCGATACGATCACCGGACGAAAATGAGCATAGCAAAGATGAAACTTGCTCCATTTTACGTCGTAAACTCAATCTGCATCACCGAGGCCATCACTCCCATCTCCTTTCTTTGATACGGGTGTCCAATGTGAGCCTGGTTTCTTCGTTTGCGAAGCTATTTCAGCATTCTTCCGCAATACAGCTCCCGGTGATGGATATGGACGTTGTTGAAACAGAGGACCCTTAAAGAGTCCATAAGACAACAATCATTTGAAAAATGAGAACTTTCACAATATGCAGCAATATATATAATAGTTCATAAATAAGATCCTATGAACAGATTGAAAGAAAAATACTCTACCGTGGCGGTGGTATCAGCAGCTCTCGGCTGTACTCCTTTCAGCCCAACAATCCAGCAGACCCAAGATCAAATGATATCAGTTGACTTTAAAGGTTGCCTCTTTCTACTTCACACACCTAGTATTCGAAGTTCAAACATGATGGCATGACAGAAGGAAAACTATTAATGCTAACATACCAGCCACCACGATGAGCATCAGAGTAAGAGCTCGGATCCATTGGATCCAGCTCATCATCATCGTCGTAGGAGTGCTTCCTTTTATCTTTTCTGTTTCCTTTTCCCATAGGCGGTCTCCCACTGGATCTGCAAAGGCAAATATTTTAGCACCGTACAACCAATTTAGGTGATGAAAACACATCTGAGGATGTATTTTCCAGACATGCACAGATTAGACCATCTCTGGCAGCTTAACTCTTTGCAAGTCGGGAAATGAGTTCAGTAGAATTAAAACAGTTCGCAGAGAAGCAACAATGATGATCCAACAATCACCTAAATTATAAAGGAATGTGTTTTAGAAGGCCTTATCTTACTAATGTTATCCATAATCCAAGCGTGTTTTATACGAACCGATTACGTTGGCCTTATCTACTTCTGTGAGCTTGATGTAAATTTTCTCAAACTTGCGCACACACAAATATGTGTGTATGTGTCTTATTTTTAGACTTGTGAGAGCATATTTTGGAATTTGCATTTTCGACAATTGAAAATCCATATTTATAGTCTCATTGTTAAATTATTGGAGCTACAACAGGTTACAGGCATTCACAAAATGCTAAAACTATATTCTAAACAGATTTATTTTCCAGAACCTAGACTACACATGAATTATCGACCAAAAAAAGGAAGACTACATAGGAATTCTAAAGAGAAATATTTGCATTGCCAGATGATACTTAATCACACAATAGCCTCATACAAACAAATCAGAGTTGGTTAAAAGAAATAGAAGCCAAAGTTAGAGTGTGTACCTCGCCTTCGGAGCCTTATTCTCATGATTGTCTTTGGCTGTTGACAAACTCTGGCTCTGTGGCAGATTAAGAACTCTGCATTCCATACAAGTTTTAGCTATTGTAAGTTTCAATTTGCTTTCACTCAACAGTAGTGTTTAGTTATCCGCATTATGTTCCTCACAATTTCTTGTACCACAATGATGCAGTAAGAATATCTTGATCATCTTACTAATATTTAAAGAACATAGCATGTGAATGTCAATAGGTCAATGTATTCCAGTTTTAGAAGCACTAAACATGATGGTAAAAAAGTGCCTGATCAGCATTATAATAAAGAAAAATGTGTTTCTGAAGACATTACAGACCTTGTGCAATGATTGCAATAACCCCAAATCCGCACCAGGCCCACTCCCCAACCTCCACAATCAATGCATTTGTCCAAGTTTGATGATCGCGAAGCCAAATTCTCATTAACAGTATTTTCAGAAACCCTGCTTCCAGGATGCCGTGATGCAAATGGCTGTAATACATCAGGGCACTCCCATTGAGTTATATGGTCTTTGTATTGTACTAATATTTGTGCCCTATTTATTTCCAGAAGAAAAAACAACCCTTAACTTTTCAGTACTGAGTCAAAAGACGCACACACACAGACATTATCAGATGTTTCTACTTTCTACTTCTAAAACCTATAACATCTTTTGAATAATATGAACTGCAATTCTGACTGCTGCATTAGCAACCTGTCCATTTTCTTTTTCATATGTTTTTTTTTTGGATAATCAATTTCACTACCCAATAAGCAGAATTCTGCTACAAAATACCCACTCTTTACAACACAGCAACACCTAATAGTGAAGCAACCAAAGAGAGAAAACAGATGCAAAACAAAGGCTAACAAAGAACAGAGAAAACAACACCACAATTATGAGAAACCCCAGCTAACACATAGGGCATAGCCGAATCTGGATATCAGTTTTAATGCTCTGCAGGATATCACTCATCGGTCTAAGCAAACCATCATACAGCCTGCTTTTCCTTTCTCTCCATATGGCATACACATAGCTCATCAACGCGAGCTTAAACACTCTCGCAAGGAGGGACTTTCCATTAAAGCAGTGGGTAGCCCATGAAAGCTCACCTTCCCAGTGGCTTACTCTTCGATAACTCCACAGAGCAGAAGAGTGACTTCCACAGGCTTTTAGCATTATCACATTCAAATAAAATGTGGTTTCTAGTCTCAGGCACCAGATCACAGAAGAGACATCTATCATTCTCTATTACTAAACCCATTCGCATCAATCTCACCCGGGTGGGGAGCCTGTCCAAAACGGCCATCCACAGAATTATACTGTGCTTAGAATGGGGAACCAAACCAGATGATGCCAAACAACTTTTGGAGCCATGATGCGCAAGTCCTCCCAGAGGACACAGTCATGATTAACAAAGAGATGGCTTTTTCATATGTTTGACAAACAATACTAGCATCCACTTGTCAAAGGAATGATTAAGGCCTTTCAAAGTTCGGTCAACAAAAATCTTTAGTTCAAACAACAAAAAGATATTGAAAAAGCATCACCAATATTGCCAAACATAATGCAGGACTCATTCTTTCTAATAACTGCAGCTTTACCCCAGAAGATTTTATGGCATTTGCCTAAAGCTAGTTTCATGTGTTCCTCAATTTCAAAACTAGTACAATTCATCCAAAAATAAATTAAATTTGTGGGGTTGGAAAATCAACCAGAATGAGGTGGTCGTACAAATATCTTTATACAATATACCTGTTGTTTCATATACTGATTCCACCCAATCTCCCACAAGTCTTGTAGTATAAGGAATGGAAGTACTCGAAGATGTCTCTACAGGTCTTTCCCACCGACTCTTTCCAATGCTTCCATTATAATAATATGAAGCGCCAGAGGAGGGATCTTTTGCTTCCACCTACATAGTCACGAAAGCAAGTGCTACGTCTTTATTTGGTTCACTCTTTGATAAGGTTTGACATGAGCAAATGCTACGTCTTGCAGCGGATTAGATGTCGGTACAACACGTTTCTCGGTTGACATAGCAGGCGAAACGGCAGAAGCTACACCATCACTGTGGCGGCGGCAGTGGTGGTAGTAGTGATGGTGGTTACCGTGGAGGCGATAGCTTCCAGCCACTCTTCTTCTATACATTCTTGAACTCAATCATACTCGATTTCATATTTCAAAAAATTTGACATGAACTCATTTCATAATAGTCTTGATCTTATAAAATCAGACCATATCGAAACTCGTAGAATGCAAATAAAATTATAGTCCTTGAATAAAATACTTATAAAAAAACGGATTATACCAATTAAGTAAGTAGCATATGTATACTACGAGTAAAATAAGATAGCGTAAAGTATATAAATGATTCTCTGACTATAGGATATTATTTTATTGAGCCATCTAATTATTAAAAATTATAAAATAGTCCTTTAATTTTAGGACGTTATTTTTTTGAGTCACTTGACTATTTAAAGATACAAAATGGTCATCCGACTATTCATTGTGTTCCAAACTCGTTCTTTTTTTAAAAATTGATAGTAGTTTGAGCTGTAAGTTAACTTGTTGATTGAGATATGACAGTCGTTTGAGATTTTGATATTAAATTATATCATAAATTAGCTAACAGGTTAACGTCCAACTAAAATTGTCATATTTTGTAACGGAAAAGTGACAGGTTTGGAACACAATGAATAGTCAGGTGACCATTTTATAACTTTTAATAGTCATGGGACTTAAAAAACGTCTTATAGTCGAGGGCTATTTTATAACTTTTAATAGTCGGGAGACTATTTATGTACTTTACCCAATAAAATAATTTCGGTATTTTAAGAATGAATTGAAGTTAAAGTAAGACACTAAAGACTCAAATAATGCATTAAAAAGTAGTAGATAATGGAAATATATTATGATAAATGTTAGGTGTTTAAGAAGTTAAAACCTACATCTAAACAACTTCTAATATTATTAATATATTTTGGTCATATATTAATTTTATCATTTATATATTAGGTTTCTTCAATTTGTCAAAGGGGTTGAAATTTAAGCTCGATTGTTAATGGGAAAAAAACAAACAGAAACAAAACAAAAATATCTGATGCAATGATTAAGTAACAAATAACTTAGGTTGTATTAAATGGAAGGGTAAATTACTTATTTAATACTTAAACTATCAGTTTTGGTTCATTTTTGTATCTAAACTTTTAATTTTTTCAAAATCATAACTAAAGTTTAATTTTTGTTTCATTTTAGTACTCGTCATTAAAAACTTTAGTTTTTGTTTCATTTTAGTACCCCTTCAAAATTTAACGTTAAATTTTGAATAAATAAAAATTTAGGTACTAAAACAGACTAAAAATGATAATTTGGGTACTAAATGAGTAAAGTTTTAACGGCGGGTACTAAAATGAAATAAAAACTAAATGCTAGGTATGGTTTTGAAAAAAATTAAAAGTTTAAGTATTAAAACATACTAAAATTGAAATTTAGATATTAAATGTGTAGTTTACCCTAAGGAGACGTATGGTTCACAAAAAAGATCATTACCAAGGGGAATGATCTTTTCTGGAATTGTATTTCCATGTTTGGTTCGTGAAATAAATCATTATCACGTAATGACTTATTACCAATAGTAGTATTTTTGGGCTAAAACGGTGGGAATGTCATTACCTCCAAATTCTTAGGTAATGAACAATTTCTAACACACTTTGGACACAAATACCCTTGAAATAATAATTTTTTTTCATATAAAAGAGTGTAAAATATTAATAAATTTGAGTAGTTAAATTATTTTATATTTTAAATATTTATTATACTAATTATTTTATAATTTTATGAGGTGAAAATATTATTATTGTAAAAGATGTAATTATTTAAAACAATATTTAATTTTGAGTTATTTAAAAAATAATATATTTTTCTACTAGAGATTACAATATTATTTTTCATATTATATTATATTTAATATAAATAGATATGATACTTATGAAAATTATAAGTTTGATATACCAATTATATTAATTATATGTTAAATGTATTTTTTTCTTTAAATTTAGATAGTGTAATAATTAAAATATTATTATAAATTTTCATTCAAATATTTATACTTTAATATTAAAGTTTTACTTATTAAATATATATATATATATATATCATAAGGATAATTTGGTAAATATGTATCCAAATAATCTTATATTTCTTCAACCAAACACTGTAATTTTACGTTTTTATTAAGTAAATCAAAAAGGTAATACAATATTCCAAGAATAATATTACATTCTGATAATCTTATTATCAAAACTAATCTTATATCTCGTGAACCAATAGCACCTAAATGGAATTTGCTTTTTCTTTTCTATTAAGATTTTTATTTAGTGGGGTTAAACAAAATTATGAGCTTGAGATTAATGATTGTGATGTGAAAGGGAAATTAGAATTAAAGATACAATCAGTGTTGGGTGTTTATAGACAAACGATATTTTGAACACATAGCAAAGAAATATTATTAGATAAATGAAAATATAAATTCATAAAATAACATAAATTAATCATTAGATAATAAAAGTAAATTATTTATTTAAAAAAACAGTTATACGGCTTAGAAATATGAATAATCATCGTTATCAACCATGAAGAATAAATATTATTAATATTAATTTAAAAATAAATATAATAATAATTATATGTAAATATAGATCTTATCATAATTCAAATACGGTATACAATATATGTAAAATCAATTCGTTCCGAGTGGTTCTCGTGCTAAAACGAATTATTGTTATTATTTGAGATTTAGATTCGAACACTATAAGTATTAATGGTATGATTATTTATTATTGAAAAGTTGAGAATATCTATGAGTAAATACTACTTATACTTATCTTAAATTAATAAAAAATATTGTATACAATATATTTAAAATGATTATAAATATTTAAATAAAATTAATCTGAGAGTTCAGATCAAAATTACGTTGATAAAATAATTAAATATTCAGAAAATTGAGATAGAAAAGTTAGATATTCAAAATAATTAAACTTAAAGTAAATTATATATTTCATACTTAAACCATTAGTTTTAATTCGTCTATTTAAACTTTTAAATTTTTTAAGATCATACCTAGAGTTTAGTTTTATTTTAATAACTATTCAAAATTTAACATTAATTTTTTTAAAAAAAAATTAAAATTTATATACTAAAATATATCAAAATTGATAGTTTAGATATTAAAAAATATGAATAAATAAATAAAATAAAAATTAAATGTTAAATACTATTTTGAAAAAATTAAAAATTTAAGTAATAAAACATATTAAAACTGATCATTCAAATATTAAATGTGTAATTTAACACTTAGATTTGATATTCATGAACTAAAAGTGCAAAATACCATTTTTACTAAAGTAGTAAAAGTTAATTATCCCACCCCAATTTTCATTATGATTAATCATAAACCTTGCGTTATCCACAATATCTTAGTGTAAAAAAAAGTAAATTAAAAACAAAAACTAAACTTTCCAGGAATCTAGGGTGGGAAAGCTCGGGAAAATTTCACAATCTAAGCTAGAACCGACAACTGCTCCAGAAAATGGTTGCTGATGATCCAACAAGACCGCCGATGTGTCCAGAGTCGGTAAAAATCCCGGTCCAGCAACGTTCGGCAACCGGTTTCCGAGTCTCTGGGGCTCCAGCTTAAGGAGCGGACTCACCGGCATCTGTCCGTCGCCGAATCTGACTCCGGTCACTTGCTGCACCATCTGCCTGAAATTAGCCGGATCCGCCATTATAAACGTGGTTTGCGACCGCTTCGAGGCCCGCGGCTTAAGTTTCGAGACTTTCCCGGTGGGAGGCGGCGGCGGATTGGAGAAGCGCTGTCGTTTTGGAGATGCTTCGGGCGCGGGACAGGCGACGGTGTTGACGAAGGAATCGGAGATTGACTTTTGGAGTGCTATAGTCAACGCCTGGTTGTCGCGAGAGAAGGCTTCAGTGATCCAGGAATCGGCGAAGGATGAATGAAACGACGGCGTTTCGATACTCGACTGGTTTTCCGGTGACGCCATCTGGTGGTGCTGTGCTGGTGTTTAAGCTTTCTTAGCTGTGTTTACTTGAAACAAAAAGTGTGAAGAAAGGAAGGAAAGTGGAAAAAAGTGAAGAAGAAGAAAAGAATCATACAGTTAATGGGATTTTCTTGGATACCAAACAGAGAGTAAATTGGCGTAGAAAATGTGAAGAAGGAAGCATTTATGGGACGGTGATGGGGAAAGGGGACGAAGAAACCGCGTCATTGTGACAGGAGGACACGCGTCAGCGCGGTTGACTTCAAATTCAAACAAAAATACTAGAAGTTGTACTGTAGAATTATTATTATTATTTTTTCAATATAATCGAATTTAGCTGTTAAAGGATTTATTATTTATTATCTTTTATGATCTTAGGTTCGAGTATAATGCATGTAAGAATTTGAGTGTTTATTGTTAAATGATCAAAAAAAATTTAACGGATATACTTTATATTTACCTTGGATTTCATAAAATAATAAATTAATTTGAGAACTTACTGAGATATCTTAGTGATAAAAGAATCGTTTTTTAGAAGTTTTAAATTTGAGCAGATGTGGTGTAAATTATCTATATACATTTATAATCTGTTAACATAAAAATTTCTAAATATACACAGGGATGACAATTTAACTCAGATCTAATGGATTTTGATTGGACCCGATCTGATAGAATTGATTTTTTTAAAATAGTTCGTTTCCAGTGGTGTCCGTGATAAAGGAATTGTTGTTATTCATTGAGACCCGAGTTCGAACACCGTAAATGCCAAGGGTGTGAACGTTCATTGTCAAAAGGTTGAGAGTGTTCTATGAACATATAATGTCTTGTACTTACTCAGATTAATAAAAAAAGAATATTTTAAAATAAATTCGAGTTCGGATCGGGTTGGATCATTTAAGGCGTGAGATTGGGTTGAGTTGGGTTCAAGTGGAGGGTGAAAAAACTCCAACCTGACCCGAGGATAATAATATATTTTTCTTATAAAATTTATTAATTTTTAAATCAAGTCGTTATTTTATACTAAGTCGGTTCGGATCGGTTGTATAATCTAAAAATTCAAATAGGGTCAGAGTTAGATGAAAAATATAT